CACTGGCACAGGGTGCAAGCGGGGCCTCCACGGTTGTCCCGAACTCGACGTGGAGCCAGGAGCATGTAGACGGGAAAGGCACCGAATGCGTTTGCCTTTAGGCACAGATGAGTCATAAATACTCGGGAGATGGAGACGGACAGAGAGACATCGGCAAGGGCGGGAGAGCGGGAAGGAAGAAAACAGGGAAGAATTAACCGAGAACAAGAAATGAAAGGGGGAGGACGGCCTGGAGACCAGTGTTTATTTGTTGTCCTTTTACACGGTGCCTTGTTCCTGGGCAATGCCAGGCTAACTCTCCAGTCGTGTCCCTCGCCCTAACAAGGCTTTGGTTCTTTCTTGACACCTGGGGCCCCGTGAGCCCTGTGCCTGCCAGGCCTCTTTGTCTCCCCATCGAAGGTGCCACTGGTCAGGGTATCTGCTGGGGGAGGAGGTGGGAGCTGTTATACAAGCAAACAAGGTGTGGCCTAGCCTTTTTCTGAACTAAATTGGTGACCAGAGTGGCCACGGGAAGACCTAAGGTTTAGTCTCATCTCCCACTGGGTGAGCACAGGTGAGTCAGCCTCACCATGAGCGGGGGGGAGGGGGGGCGGGGGTGCACTGAACACATTATTGGGCTGTTTTCCCCACATAACTGTCTGTACATTACTGCCTGAGAAAATATACTCAGAAGTGACAGTGGCAAGTGGCTTGACTTTTGTGCCTCAGTGTTCTCACCTGAAATGGAGGTCTTATTCGTAAGATGGTTGTGAGGGTTAAACGAAATAATTCATTTAAAGTGTTAAGTACCCAGCCTAGACGAGGAAGGTACGAATGGCAGTCATCATTCTAATGGAAGGAGTAGCCCAAAGTTGCTGTCGCTCGAGCGCCTTCGAGGGGCTCCTTGAGCCCGGCCGGGCGTGGCTCAGCCGCTGAGCATCCACCGAGGATCCGGTTCGATTCCCGCTCAGGCACAGGCCCGGGCTGCAGGCTCGGTCCCCAGCGGGGGCGTGCAGGAGGCAGCCGATCAATGACTCTCACCATTGGTGTCTCTGTCTCTCTCTCCCTCTCTCTCTGAAATCAATAAAGACATATTTTTTTAAAATTTCAGGTGTACAACTCTATAACATGGCATCTGCGTACCCATGGCATACTGCTGTGCGCTCACCACCCAAGGCCTAGTTTCCTCTGTCACCATATATTTGGCCCCCTTCACCCTCTTGGTCCTTCCTCCGTCCCCTTCCCCTCGTAACCATTCTGTTGCATCTGTCTTTAAGTTTTGTTTGTTCATTTGTTGCTTTTTGTTTTATATCCAACATATGAGTGAAATTATCCAGTTCTTGTTCTTTTCCTGACGTATTTCACTGAGCATAATATGTTCAAGGTCCATCCACATATTGCAAATAGCAATATTTCCATCTTTTTAATGTCAGTGTAGTATTTCATTGTGTAGTTTATCCTAAACTACAAATTTATCCTGGGAAATCGTCCAAGCTTTACACAGAAAGGTTTTGGAACTTGACATTAAGCTGCCCCATGAAGAAATAAAATGTAGTTTCCCTGGGTTCACAACCAGAACCTTAGGGAAGAGTAGGATAAATATCAACAAAAGGAGTTTTTCTAGTTCAACTCCCTTCTATACGAATGAGAAAACTCAGAGATCTGTGCTTCCGATTCTTCAGCTACTAAGAGGCTGAGCTTGTGTATCCTGACAGGTTGATGTCGATTCCACTTTTTTTAATATGTTTTTTTAATTGATTTCAGAGAGAGGAAGGGAGAGGGAGAGAGAGATAGAAACATCAATGATGAGAGAGAATCATCGATTGGCTGCCTCTTGCACGCCCCCCGCTGGGGATGGACCCCAAAACCATGGTCTCCTGGTTCATGGGTCGACGCTCGGAGCCACACCGGCTGGGCATCTTGATTCCTTTTTACCTCTCTATTTCTTTCTAGTAAATTACCCTCCAAAAAATGTTCTCCACAAAATTTCTTACAAGTATGGGCATAGAAATTACAACATTGTCAGTCATGTAACAATGTTATATAATAATAATTTCATAACTTCCAAGTAATATAAATACACTAGGACTCAAATAGTTACAAAGTAAGAAATATTTTGTAGATAGAAGGAGGTAGGCTGCATATATTTATAACGCTCATCTATTTACTTGATATGATATATCATGTAGGTATTTGAAAGGAAGGAAGCCACTGCTACATACCCTTGGCAACGCCAGCAATAGTGGAGACTACAAAGCAATATGAGAAAAACCCCACAGTTCGTACAGCTAACGCTCTTACAACCTAATCAGACAGTCAAGTGATACACAAGGAAACTGAACCAGCCTCACAAAACAACAGTTAGAACTATTTTGGGAAATGGGAAACTTGCTAACCAATAGTGTGTGGATCTGAATCCCAAGTTATTCTTTCATTCAATGAGTATTTCCTTGAATGCCTAAAACCTGCCAGATGCTGCTTTAAACACTGG